CAGCGGACAAGTGAGAATAAAAGTACGGAGAACCAGCATTCTTCCGGCAATTAGAATTTTCCTGGAGACCAAGCGAGACTCGCTACAATCCCGCACGAGTGGCTTAATTAAGCCAGACCAATTAAAAACACGGCCGCGACGGATTATATTCCGCGGCGGGATCTAATCAGCGGAACAACGCGGATTTTCCTCGTCCTTCTCGAACACGTCGGACTAATAATTGACTGGCTCACTGGCAGCGCCCTTAACGAAATTCTAATCTTTAATTCGCACATTACGCGGCCATTGTCCGACTTTGTCGTGGAGATAGAGCGATTTGCGGAATTATTCGGTCGGTCGGTGCATTGTTGGGCTCATCTGTTCGTAAAATCGTTCGCTGGCCGAAGAATAGTTGCGTGAAATGTGCTATTGTCGTTATGGGGTGCATTGTTGCATGCGACCGCTTAGTCGCGTGAATAATCTTTTTCGAAACGCGCCTGAATAGGTAGAAATGGAGCTCAGTAATTGAAATTCGCGCGACAGGATCGGAGAGTGCTTATCGTAATCCCGGTATTATCAATGTGCTATGCATAACGCGTTTAATTTGCACCTATCGTGGTTTTGGTTTCAACGCGTGAATAGAATTCGCTATGAATTTTAGAGCGCGCTGAGCGTCAAGAAACGAGAGATCGAAATACACAGAGCTCGTAATTACTGACAAGAGAAAGGAATATTTAATCAACGTCGAACATAATAATCGTGTTCTTGTGTAATTAGAGCACGTTGATTGTAGATATAGGAATTAATTCAATTATATTTTGATTTTCGTCGCTGATATCGCGCTATTTCAATGAGCCAGTCAATTACTATATTATTAAATAAAACGTACTTAAATATTAAATATACCGTATCCTCGTTATTTGCGATAGCGTCCCGATGAGTATGGAAAATTATAACGTACAAACGAATTTACGAATTAATAGTATTTATACTAGCACTTATGTCTAAATAAAAGTAATTACTCATGCGAGACTCAATGGCACTATGAATCCTCACTTAGAAAATTAGTTTCTTAGAATTATATAAATCCTACTTAAACGAAGATCCTACGAATTATCGTTAATTCGTTAACACGTTAATTCGTTACAACTAAAAGCTTTCGTTTTCTCCATATAATCGTTCACGTCTTGGTTAAGTTATTATAAAATAAAAGTACCCTACCTTTCCATTATACACGGTAATTTAAAAAACGCGTTAACTTCAAACGAGTCTCAGAATCGCAGTATACGATCAAAATGTACGTGGAATCGATTCCAAAGACTTTCGACTTGAGATTAATAGATCACTAAACGTGATCGATGAAACGAGAATGTTCTGCGTTACAGCGACTTTAAATTAGTACACGCGAAGTCGTACAAATTAATGAGGATAAAAATAACAGAAGCACGAAGATTGCATGGCTCGGCTAACATTTCGGTTTTCTCATGCTTATGAAATATCGATCGCTTCGAAAATATCGATCGCTTCGAAAATATCGATGGCACCACGATTTCACGAGATCGCTTGTGAAACAATTAATAAACAAACCGTGTAAATGTTATTACAACATTTAACGTTTGGTCAGGAACCCTTACAATCTTCAACGGTATTCAAATTTCACCGAGACAATTTAAAATTAAATTCACACTAAAATTGAAACTTATAATAAATGATCAAAGAGCGTGTACAGTGATTCAATCCCCACGATTCTATTTAAAAACCTAAATATCTTCGATCTAATTCATCCACGAATTAAACTACCAGTTAAAGGTAAATTAAATTTACTGACTAATACATTAATCTACAAATTACTACAAAATCGAGAAATTTCTCTCAAACAGATATACAAATTTGGTATAAAAGAAATTGTTAAAAGATGATTGTTAAAATTTCTCAAAGGAAATCTTGAAAGAAGAAAAGCTTCCTCGCAGTTGGAAAATTTAAACGATAATTCAACGACGCGTTCAGAGGTCCTGACCATATCCTTTCCCATCATCATCGATCACGATCGATCACGGGAAATACCTCGGAGGACTTGGATCCTCGATCGTGAAATCGACTCAATGGCACAGAGAATAGTTTTCTCCTCTATCGAACCTCTTCCGAATACGTTTACATTCTTGATCTAGTTACAACTCTCTCTTACATACATACACGTTCTCTCTCTTTGCTCGAATCCCTTAACAATTACAGTAAATTACATTGTTCCTATTTACAGCGTGATATACATACAGATCGTTTCTCTATAAAAGTCGTTTCGCGGTGCATTTTATTCCATTTGTGTTCCTTTTTTTCCACATTTTTTCCTGTTTTTTAATTGCGTGTATTCGAGATACAAAACCGCTGTAACTTCGTTGACCCCGCAGGGGCTGCGGTCGACCTTGGTCGGCCGTAGTATGGGATTGGCGACCCCACGGTGCCTAGCTGACGTGCACCTACGTCGAGGTGGGCTAGCAGCCTCAAAACGGTAGTGGTTCTCCACGAACGGGAAAACCGGTACGCCCGTGATCACCGGCACCACGGGAGACCGATTTAGCCCTGGACCGGCTGCCAATAGGCAGTCCGTCCGTCGGTCGCTGGGTTGGCCTCGTGGTGGCAGGGGTTGGAGCCTACATCGCAGGCAAGGGTTCTTGAAGCCCGGCGTGAGAGTTGCGCTTCGTACAGCTCGGGTGCTGTCCTCCTGAGGCAGTAGGGATTTAGAAAGGTCCCGTCCCAACACCAAGGGAGACGATTGGGGCTAGCATCCCAGTTAGTCAAATTGGCAGGACTGATCGTGTTCTGTGGCACTTTCGGTTCGCGCTGGTTGGGCGTATTCCAACCCCCCCATAGGGGGGCGTTTGGGTGGTAATCCCCATCGCCCTCGCGGGGGTGGCAGTGCTGAATAAGTGTAAGCTTCAAGCAGCGTGACCAAAAAACAAGATGTAACTTCGTTGAGATCGACCGATTTCCTGTTTCCTTAGGGCTACGCGGTTAACCATCGATCATGGAGACTCCTAATTTCGACGAACTTGAATCGAAATTAGGCGTTCGATCCATTGCTCTCGTCGCCTTCGCTTTCTTCATTTTTTTTTTTGTTCTTTTTTTGGTACATTTTTTTTCCTTACGGTGCTAGTTAGAGATTGAGGTTTATTCTAGGGAGATCGATCGATCGTCGATTTGTGTCGTTCGATCGTGTCGTTTTCGTTCGTCCATCGAATGGTACATTGATCCTTCGATCGCTGGCTGTTCGTTCTGGTGCACTGAGCTTCGATCGAGAGAAACTGAGCGATACTGGCGACTAATGTCGCGAATATCTCATCGCAGAAGATGGTATGTGTGGCTCAAAATTCTAATTGTACAATATTTTTTAAATTATACTTAAACACAGATCGCGAAAGACTTTAAAAGACTTTAGAGAATATAATTTCTTAGGTTATAATTTAAAATTCTAATTGTACAATTTTTTTCTAAATTATAATTAAATAGAAAATGTGAAAAGACTTTCAGAATGTAATTTCATAGGCTATAATTGAACGTTATAGAACACTATCGGCTCTACTTATAAGAAATTAGACTGTTTCCGTAAAATTAATTATGATTAATACAAAACATAATTTTGAATGTTCGCTTGTTCATGAAAGTCAATGACGAAACGCCTGTATTCAATGAAAGATTTAAGTATAATTTGTACTTCGAGCCACACATAACTTTCCATTGTCTGATTCTCTCTCCTGAATGAGACGAATATGCTACAAATTCGTACTAGAAAAATTATTACCAAGACTACTGCGCTATCAACGTTCGTTTTCATCTTCTGTGAGTCATTTCTAGGTTCACCAACGTTGATAACGAACCCCGCCTTGAGGAAAATCGAAGAAAATCTGGTTCGTAACAAAGGACCCGTATTACGTTTTCCCATCGATTAGGCAGTGATATTTGTTCGGACAGTCTTCTCGATTTTTCGGCAAGAAATAATGATTTTTCAAATGGAAAGAATCGCGGTTGTTTATTGCTATACACTGTTCGCGCAGATATGTATTTCGTCTCTTCTTTTCTTTTCTTTCAAAGAACCGTGTGCGTGATTTTCGTCGGAAAAAATGATCTCTCGCGTTAAATTATTGTACGTACACATAGGATATCGATTCGTATTATTTATTGTTACTGTTACTACTGTTCGACAGGCAGTGATTCTTTCTGTTCGTTTTATAAATCCAAACGCATTTTGATCTCGATATACTAATGAAAATAATTCTCAACTATCGTATATGTACGGGTATTACTTCTTATCTGTATGAACGACAAATAATTCATCATCTCGTCAAAATAACTAGAGTCGATACAAAATTCATTTTCCACGTGATCCTAGTGTTTTCTGATATAAAAGAGTCCAGCGCGTCGAAAATCAATGGCAAATTAGACATCTATCGAGTTCCACTAACAACTATAATCCGGAATAAATCATTTTCTAGTATCGATTGTTCCTTCGTTCCTTCCTTCCCGATTTTTCGCAACTCTCCGTTCCCAAGGAATTCGTATATTCGGATATTAAAAACTAGTTACATTCATAGTGACTTTCGCAGCCTCGACGACGCTTCAGACGTACGCTTCCGGTACCGGATGCAAGAACGAACGCAGAACACGTTCTACCTTCCTCGTTTACATTCAACGTACTTATACTCTCTACTCGATAATCCAGCCTTACATAACCGCAGTTTTACATTTAAAAAACAGAGCTATCTTCGATAACATCTTCAACAAACAATAGGAGATTCTAATATCCCTGTCAGACCGGTGTCCGGCGAATCTTCGCCGAACTTCCGTTCCTATTCTCCGAGCTTCTCTCAGTATTTCCATAGAAACAGCTGAAACTCTCGGCACACCGACGTATTTACAACGCTCTCAGGACTCTCGTTCGCTTCCGGTGTCGAGTACAGACACGCGTGAGACGATTTCGACGCGAGAGATAACAAGTTTCTCCACTTGCAGCATCCAGGATCCTAACGAATTTCCATCCGTCTCACGGCGCTGATTCGCACGGATCGAGCAGAGTGGCTTCCGGTACCGAAGCGTTCGATCGTCAAGGTCCCTGGAAAAATTCCAAACGGGACAATTTTCCGGGAAACGTCGTCGAGATTTCGTCGAGATTTTATCGAGATTTCGTCGAGATTTCGCGGAGACTTGATCGTCTCGGGCGTTCTCGTTGAAAAGTGGTAAGCTCGGGGACGAAAAGAAGGTAATACACGAGAAGGCGTGACCCCGACGTGCTCGTTTCCGGTAGCAGGACGAAGGCCACTGGGTTCTCGCTCGAAGAAGCAACGATTCGGATCGACGACGTGTATCGTTCGTTGGCATTGAACGCCTGCCTTTACAGCGGCCTCGTTCGTCGGCCGTGCGTTAGAAAATCGGTCTCTCGATTAAAAGCAGTACTTCCGCGTGCTCACTTCCGGTACCGGGCTCAAGGACGGGGGCCGTCCCTCGCGCGGGACACCCCCTTCCTCCTGTCAGCCGTAGTAATAGCTCTTCGTGTTCAGGCTTCGTGGGTTTTCCGGACGCAGGATCGTGTGGAGGCTGTCGGTGCCCACCATGTGATTACCCAGGTCCACCCTGACGCCTGTGTTGCCAGGGTAGTGCCCTGGGCCCGGATGCATCGTGGTGGGCGACATGGGTATCCTCGTTTCAGCGTAGTAACGATCGCCGTGGAGCCTCTCCGCTAACTGGGTTTCTGGAATCCTGCAAAGGAAATTCGGTCAGACAAATGTCATTTTCTATGCGTTTCCTGTCCATGTCGCGTTCGGGACTTTATCCTAATTAGCATACAATCAGAAACTCGAGTCTATCTTTTATTCAAAATTATTTGCATTCTAGAGTATCGAGTTACGATTCACGAGCGATGATGTGATAATTTCTCGAATATCAAGAAAAATATGGAAAGTCATGGAACCTCGAGGCTCTAAAATTGGCAATGAGAGTACGGGAATAATTAGAAGATACCAATCTTCCAAGAAAATATAAAAATTAACGAAATTCTTTTATTTTCTTGATTGCCGATAATCTATATGGGGAAATATATAATCCTTAAAGTATCTTCCTGCTCATGTCAATTTGAGTCTTTCTTCTATTCAAAATTATTTACATTCTAGACTATCGAGTTATGATTCACATGCTGTCATGCGATAATTTCTGGAGGACAAAGAAAAATATGGACAATGAGGGTGCAAGAATAATTAGAAGATACCAATCTTCCAAGAAAATATAAAAATTAACGAAATTCTTTCGTTTTCTTTATTGCTGAAAATCTATATGGGAAAATATATCCTCCTAAAAGTATCTTCCGTTTTAAATCAGGGATGAGAAGGTGTTTGAGTGGAAATATGAGAAGATACGTAGAAGAACCTCGTAGATACGAACCTCGTGTCTTGCATGGGCACTGGCACCGGCGTGGTGAGATCGATATCCGCGTCGATCTCGGAAATGTCATCGGTGAATCCATTTGGAAGCGCTTCGTTATTCGCGTGGAACTTCGCATCCCTCTTTGCGCGATGGCGGCTGACTAGGAGACGTCCAATTACCAAGCCCAGGAAGATTAAAATGCCGGCTGTGACCGACACGATGATGTATAGATAGAACTTTTCTTGGTTCTCTGTATAAAGGAAATCAGACTTCGGTAACTATGAAATTAACCAGGGGAATCGCCGATCACACGACACAACGAAATTAAATCATAAGAAACTCGGGAAGGGTCCAAATCGCATGCAAAATTACTGGAAGATCTGCCTACTGCTATGAATGCAATGCCAAACACAAGTGCTGAATCCTCGCGATCGCAAACCTCGGATATGGATCGCGTTTCGAGCAGTAAATACAAAATGCACTACTGCTATTATTCGCTTGCTTTTTCTACCTGACAGACACAAAATACAACGAATTACTATTTAAATATACTCTCTGAATAATTTTCAGACATTTTCGTCGCGAAATTTTCTTTTTCAAACATCAAACCTTCTCCAATATTTTTAATATTAATTTACTACATATTTTTATACCATCGTTTAACATAGATCACGTTACACCACCGGTACTCGGTAACGAGCCAAGTAACGTTGTCGATGGTGGAGAAAGTATTACCAACCTAACTACTACGGGTAAACTACCGATCACTATCAATATCCCGACAGCTAGTATCGTGCCAACATCCAGCAAGAACGAATTTCTCTTTACCGACATCCTTTCCCGCAGTATCTCTCGCATGGTCGATAAAGAGAGGAGAGAAAGCAGCGAGAGAAACGGACGGTAAAACGCCTTACCGGCTGGCCGAACGAGAAAAAGGGTACGGAGTGTACTTACTCGATATGAACGAATATGCATTGATCCATTCATTGATATATCCGACAACGACACGATCCTCTTCGGGAAAGGCGTAGACTACCGTGGTGCAATTAATCGGCGACATCGTACTGCTGGTAGTAATATCGGCCACGTTGTTGTCGAACATAATCATCCCTTGAACTACCGTGGGTGTTAGGGGCGAGTCTTTCGCTCCCACACCAACCGACCTATACTTGTTCGGTCGTGTGTCCACTGTGTAGACGCGAGAAATAAATGAATAGAGGAGACTGGTGAAGAAGAAAAGATCTCGAGGTCAGTGAAGTGCAGTGATGGGAGTGTAATCGCGATGCCGATGATCGATCCAGAGGGTACTTCTTCCTCGCAGACTTTCATTCGAATTAAATACGAAACAACTGCGATTTTCTGTATTTCCTTCGATCCTCGAATATCACAATAATTTCTTCCGATATTGAAAAATTTTAGCATTTTTCAACGCGTTTAATTCTCCAATATCGAATATTATAATCGAATGTTTTGTTATAAAGATTCCAGAAATAGGAATTTATTTTTGACTATATTTAATATTTTTTGAGATAAATAAATCGCTAGAATAAATTATTTCATTTCAATTTATTTAAAATTAAATTCCGCGACGAAGAAGTACCTCTTGGATTCAGCTTCAAATTCTAAATGTAAAATCGTAGATCGAGAAAATTCGATATTTGCCAGTGAAGAAATTCAAGGAATCCCATCACTACTCAAAGATAGGATGAAGTAAGATATAAAAAGGGGGTGAGAGAAGGCAATGCACAGACAGGTGCCGGTAAGTCACATCGACCATCCCCCGTTCGGTTATTTACAAGAAGCCATGATCTAGCCGATCATTCCTTCGCGGCAGAGATGATCTCGAGTAGGCCTCGAGTATCACGCGAGTATCATCGCGTTTTATTCGATTCTGCAATCGGTATTTACATATTATTCGACTCGATTTGGTCGCGCGTGTCGTGGAAACTGCGAAAGGTAATCGGGGCGCGGTTAATTTTACAGACAGCGTATCCTAGGTAGGGTGATTTTACTCGTAGCTACGGATTATGTACAAGAATATTGGGAATACAATGATCCATAATATAATCCGCCACCAAATCGTAATTGCTTCGTGTTATTATACATATTGCGACCAATGCGGGGGTACAGGGGTGCTGTGAGAGTGATAGAGCATACGCAGAAGATCCGACAGTCGGAGAGAATATCGAGACATGGTAGTGGATGAATTTACAAACTGGAAGCTGTACATGGCTACACGAAAGCTGACCGAGGTTATTTTTACGACGTGGGTAATTCGGTGAAATTTAAGCGAAGTAAATCTGTCAGTTTCCGGGGGTGCTTAAACGCGATTATCGACCTTTGGATTAAAATATGTGCACTTTCTGCTGATGTATCAGACGGACCTCGTAACCGGGGTAGTTCACGGTTTCCATTTTAATCGAAGTGGGTCGAACTGATTAAATAAGTATTTTAATCCGTCTAATGTATCTCGTTTCTGCTATTTTATGTCCCGACGTCTTCGAGCGACTGCCGAACAGGGAGATTGAAATTCCTGGTACACGAAAGTTTTGGAAGAACGGGACCATTGATGATTAAATTTTAGAGATCGTTTTTGGTTATTTTAAATTCGTCTTCCTTTATCCTTTTAAATATTGCAGTGAAAAGTTAAAGTAATTCGTGGACCTTCTTATTAAATATGAGAATATTAGGCTAGATGTGAAGAGATATTGTGGGTATTACGAACGAAGACATTATTTCGCGTTACAATAAGCATTATTATGTCAAGATAAAGGGGACTGGTACAGAGGACATTGATTGTCTGCCTTTGGAAAGCTCTGCCCCGTACTCTGATCATCAACGAACTGATTTTTCAGGCCAAACTGAAAACCAGGTTCTGGAAAGTCTAAAACCATCGAGAGTGTTCCACGACGCATGCCCCCTGCGAAGACAAAAGAAGATCGGGCCCTCGTATATAAAATGTGAGCTCCCAATCACCAAGGCAATCAATCCTTCCGAAAAACGCAATAAAATACTAATCTGATAAGTAAGACTCTGTCTATTTTAACCCTTTGCACTCGGGAGGCGACCCTCAGTGACTATTTCATAAAATTTGGAAGATCGATATTTATTAATATATCAAATTTAACGTAATGTAACAGTGTGCGAGGTATCGAAATCAAATAATTCTACAATCCTATTATTATACAATTCTTTACTTACTGCTAAAAAAAGTATTGTCAGTTTTATAGTAAAGAATCTTTGAATTTCTACTCTTCTTTAGCCAAAAAATCGTCGGGTGCAAAGGGTTAATCTCCCGCAATACAGAAATTATCCTGTCTCCATAATCCCTCAGAAAACGTCAAAAATAAGCAAATAAAAATCGATCTTTCGATTCTAAGATTTATATGTAATGTACTACTTTGTTATACATAAACTTCCCCTCTCTTCTCATCACTCCCTTGTCACGCCCATGAAACTACCCCTCAGCCACCGAACGCGTCCTCGAAATCAGCGAGGGGGGTCGCGCCCTGGAGGAGGGGTCCATCGATAACCCGTTTTCCGTGTCGTTCACCCCGTATTTTTCACGGATCGATGGTCCAGCGAACGAGATACCGATACTCGGTGCATCTCGACAGGTTCTTAGGGCTGAGACGGACCCCGGACGGATATTTTTCAGGGCGTCGTCGCTGAATGCCAATGCGAATGGAAATTCGAGGTTCGCGTGTTATACCTCGGCACGCGGCGCTGGTCTTTGTCACTCGCGCCGCGGGAATACGTGAGTCGCGCGAGACCGGCCTGCATCTCGTGATCGGTATGCGTCGGGACGCGCGAGAACTTGGACGGAAGCGTCGATGGAAGCGTCGGCAATGTGACGCAGCTGACAAACATACAGAGGCCTCAGACATTGCCCCTGTGATACATCGTGACGCACCAGAAAATAGCCGACCAGTAGTCTCAGACCTTTGACACAGCCCTAACGAATCACTGAAACTATAGCCATCCCTTGGACCCATGACACAGTAATATCAATAACTTCTCCTCCAGCCAAAATTATTATAAATACCCGAACCTACAGCAAAATAAAGATAATACTATTGTAAAGGGTACTTATTGCTAATATTGAACAAGAACTGGCCGCTAATAACCTTTCCTAAAAATTGTGTCTCAATGACTCCTCTCAACGCACTGTTTTGGAACTATCCTGGAACTGTCTAAGCACTGTTCTTTTAAGGACGGGCCTCCTTTGTTCATTGATCGCGAATCAAGAGGATCGCTACTTCGATTTGAGACCTCGGTTATCATTGCTACGTGCCCCTCACTCACGCAGCCTTATCGGTAACCGGAGCTCGCCTAATCTTATATATTTTTACACTATTCTGAATTTGAGCCCGAGAGTTACGTCTCTTCGTACCCCACCCGTGCACCGTGACAGTAGTGTCTACGTTGCTGTGGACAGACGTAAGCCTGGCGATTGTTGTGGAAATGATCGAGGGGGGGTTGCTGGTCGAGTTTAAGCACGAGTTTAACGCGCCAAGTGCGAGATGCAGGTTTGAGGGTGGATAATCGGGGCGTAGTTGCCGGAAGCGTTGTGAACAGGTCGTAAAATCGGTCGGGTATGCGAGTGTACGTGTTCTCAGGGCCCAGTGGCGACTTCGAGGTACAAAGAACCCCGCGAAATTGGGTGAAAATATGAAAGCGAATTACGATTCGAAATACTCGCGTCAGAAACGTAAGTTCCAGAAAACTGTGGAATAGCAAGTTCTAGAAAAATGTTGATTCGAGTATTCGTGCGTGGAAGTATCAGATCTTTGTTACAAGTTTATGGAAAATTGAAATATACGCAGGAGGAAAACGAATGGTTGCCATAGTTCAGGTGAAACTTATCAGTTGAAGCTCCGAGGTATCGTATTTCAGAAACAGCTCAAGATATTCGGAGTTTTTAATAGTTCGTAATTTATTGCTTGCTCCAACTAGAAAATATAAATTTTCTTTACTGCGGACTCTTCGCATTAATAAACTACGAGGAAACGTATATTATGGTAGTTAGAGAAGTAAAGGGATATTAATTTAATTTAATTAAATTTGAAAATCGGAAGTCAAAGATTCGCGAAAAAATTTGAAAGCACGTAATATTCATGAACGAGAAACGTGAATTTTTAGGTTGTCCAGATATATTATACTAATTAGAGCAGAACGTAAAGGGATATTAATTTAATTTAATTAAATTTGAAGATTGGAAATCACAGACTCGAGAAAAAATTTGAAAATACCCGGAAATGAGAAATATGAATTTTTAGGGAGTCGAGGTATATTATAGTAGTTTGAGAAGAAAATAAAGGGATATTAATTTAATTCATTTAAATTTAAAGATCGGAAGTCAAAGATTCGAGAAAAACTTTGAAAATACCCGAAAATGAGAAATATGATTTTCTGGGGGGTCGAGATCATCCCTTAAACTCAAGTTCTCGAGGTGTATTACACAAGTAGCATAACGCAAACTTACGTTCCTTATAAACGACGAAACTGACGTCCCTGTTTATTTGATTTAGAAAACCGAGTCACTTTATCGCGGTTCTTTACCGGGACACTCGCAAGACACTGATTTGCATAAACCAAGACGACGACGCGATTCTGCCGATGCGGTGAAATTTCCATGAGAATCAGCGAATTACCATCGGCGAAATTTTGACTCGTCATCGATACTGTGTGGAAACTCGAACCGAATGCGTTTCCATCGTATAAATGGCAGATGCGATATTTTCTCATACATTTCGCAACTCGATCGCGTCATACGTTATTTTTATTCCGAGTAATATGTTTGCATCGATTTTTGAAAACAGCTATTTCTGCATTTCGAATTACGCGAGATAAGGAGCTTTGAAATAATACTTCGTTTTCCACAAAACGTCCAGTCACGTACAGGTTCTGGTTGGTGCAAGTTAAGCCGTTTAGTTTCGTCAATTTAATCCCCTATTTTTATTTAATATGTCTATACACGTGTTTGTTCGTTTTCGATGATGATTCGGTTATTGGGTCACACGTGGCAACAAAAGTTTCAGTTAATACCGCAATGAACCAAATATATTTCCAATTATTCCCGAAACATTTTATTTCATTTTATTGGTGTGCAAAAGTGACGCAAAGGTTTCTGAAATTCTAGATATTTAAAAAATTCATCGTATTTCAACGACACGATAGTTAACACT